CTATCACGGGACAAGGAAAACTATAATGGACGGTCCGTTTCTCGTAAGCAATCGACAGAGTTTCTACATACGATGAGCTGTGCCGTAACGGCTAAATACGTACGATACATACACGCGTATGTGGCCGGCCGTAAAGGAAAACGTGATTCTTTTATCGAGTGTTCCGTAACTTCGGTTTACAGATTTCGCGTCTAACAGCTCGTTGGAGGGCGTTCTTTCGTGGCGCGGCAAGCGTTCGCTCGCACTCGGTTGTTTCCGTCGCCGTTCGGCTACTCTCCAACTCGAACTCACTGCCGCTTACTGTTTCCCGCTTGCCGCTGTCGCTCTCTAAAAACGCTGTGCGAGGGACTCTTGGTTACTATATCCGTGCTGTTTCTCCCATACTCTGTCGCATTAACGAACCCAATGGAAAAAAAAAGAAAAAAAAAAGAAAAAAAAAAGAAAAAAAAAAAAAAAAAAAAAAAAAAAGAAAAGAAAAAAAACTATTTTAGTTAATAAACGTTTTCTTTTTCTTTTTTCACTTTTTACGTTTTCGAATCAAAAACGTTCCCTTTCTATTAATTTACAAGTATATAATTGTTATATATTTTTGGTTATTTTAGCAAGTCACGTATCTTCATATATTTCGTATTTCGTTGAATCACATGAACACTGACATTATCTATCATTCCTAACTCGCAATCCTCGTCACCGAGCATATCGATCGTTAGGACGATCTGTGTCGTTCTAACGTATGCAGCACCTACACCGTACGTTATAACCGTACGTATAATAAAGGGTGATACGTAAAAAACCAAATTAAATTTCTATTCCCACAAACACGAATTGGGGCTATGTTAATTTCATCAATATTTAACGTCATAAATAAAGTCACAAAAAAATTATTTCCCAATTTCCAGAGTTATATTTATATTATAATTTGTTTTGTGTGACTAATATCACATAATTTTGTTCCTATGCACTGCACTATCAAACAATGTTGAATAAAACATTTCAATTGGTTGCTTAATCTAATTAAACGATAGAACAACGTATTTTATAAGCTAGATTGAAAATTGTACGTGAAATTTATAGTGGTTTTTCCAATTTTGAAACAAAGAAACAATACGTAATTTAGAGAATTATTCGATAAATAATCGATAAACCGATCGATCGATCGATCGATCGATATCGTTTAAACATCGAAATTTATACTTTAAATGTAAACATAAAAACTAAAAAATATAAATGAAAAATATAAATTTCATATATTTTAGCTTATTAATTTTTTTGTTTAAGATAAGTTAGTTTGTTAAGTTTTATCAAATATCATTCTTATCTAATACATATCAAAATGTAAAGACATGTTCAAAGAACTGTTTATTTTTCATAGAATGTGCATAGAGTTCAAAGAAATTTTATGAAATAATAATAAAAAAATATTTAAAAATAATATGAGAAAAATTAAAAAAAGTTTAGTACTAATACTAATTGCTAATATTTTCGTGTACTGGCGAAAGTCACAGTAATGTCACATATAAAATTATATTCGAAAAAAAAATTAAAAAATAAAAAAAAAAATAAGTAATTTAACAAATGATTATGTTGAAGACAAACTTACCCCAGAATCTATTCCTTGAGTATTCGGTGTTGTTGATCGTTGTTGTAGATTGTGGAAACTCTAAAAACAAAAATAACAAATATTAATTTTATCATTAATTGTTTATTTAAAATTTTTATATTTTGTAATTAAAAAATGTTTTAAAATAATTTCTTCTAAAACTATACATACTACAATTAAAAACTATAATATAATTAATAAAAATACACATTACTTTTTTACATCTTATTTTGAAATTGCAATAAAAATTAAAAAAGCAAATATATAACTCAAAGATATATTAGCTAATTAAAATAATGCAAACTACAAGGAAACATAAAATAAGAGAAAACAAATTTTTTTTTAATTCAAATATTGCAAATATTTTGATTTTATCATATTTCTTTTATTTTTCATTCTTCCCTATAATATATGATTTTCTTATTTTATATTATTATGTAATATTTATTACTCAATTAAATAACAGAAATAGGAAAAAGTAATAGCATATTTACTAGATGGAATTATTTATCTTACATTAAAGATTTCTTTATAGAAAACTATTAAATTACCTTCAATAAAAGATAAAAATTTAAGGAATAAAAGAAGTATTTACATCATTAAAGATGTAACTTGAATATAAATAGTACTTTTGTATAGAAATGTTCATTATAATTATAAAATTTTATTTTATAACTCAATAAATAATAAAATTATTAAATTTGTATGAGTAACTAAAACAGAAAGATCATTTTATATATTTCCAATAATATATGACCTAGTTATCAAAGTTGTCAAAAATAAAAAACAAATATGTAATATATATATTTAATACTCACTTGAGATTGAGTTGGTTGAGGTTGTGGTGAAGCAGATGGTGGTGGTGCTGGAGACTGAGAGAGAGCTCTTTGAGGTGACTGACTTGAAGGATTTACTTGATTAGATGGAGGTGGAGGTGGTGGATTTGGAGGACCACCTTGATTCCATCCTCTTTGTTCCGTATATAGACTGGAAGGATGGCTTGTTTGTGTCGTATATGAATTTAACTAAAAATATAAGAATATTATTAATTAATAATTTTATATGTTTGCATTATTACTTGTATCTTTTAAAGCTAATTACCTGATGATGGCTGTAAGGTGTATGGGGTCTAGCAGGAGAGGAATAACGTTGGGCATATTGTTGGTATGGCATAGGAGTTGGAGAACTGGGTCCTCCTGGTCCTCCATGTAGTCTCGGTGAACCCTATTTATTAATGTTGAATTTGATGTAATACTCCATTTACAAAATATCAATCAATTATATAATCAAGTAATATGTATGTTTGAATATTTTTGTATAATTTAATTTTGTTTTATAAATGTAATGAAATTTTAACATTAATTCTATTGCAAGAATATATATGATATTTATAAGACAACTATATTTCTTTATTCTTTTATAAGATTCTATTATTATGCTTCCATGTTTGTCGTACCTATATCAACAATGATTATTCAATAAATCCAAACAATATAATATTTTATGTTCATATATCAGAACTATATATAAGATATTACAACTATATATAAATAAATACACTATATACTACGACACTATATTTCAACACTGTGGTTATATTATTTACCGTTTGTGGAGGACGTTGGCTAGGTTGAGGATATACAGGTGGTACAACCGGTGGTCGTTGCATAGGCCACGGTTGTTGATAAGATTCAGGTCCCATCCCAGGATAGTTCCCATGGAATCGATGAACAGGTGTCGAAGCCTGAAGTAACTGATTCAAAGTAGGCGTTGGACCTGTGGCTTGTGATATACTTTGACCCGATAGAAACCTTGGTTGCCCAGGAAAGCTGGCAGGAGTACCTCCTACATAAGCTAATCTTGATTCGACCTTAGAAGCAGCATAATGTTCTTCCATGTCTGGTCGATGAATTCCTGGAAATTCTCCATGTTTCGTCACATATTCTGGTATCTGTTTGCCTTGATAATCGGTCAATGGTTTGGCGGAAAATTCATTAGATTTATTGGTATACTCTTCAGAGTAGTCACGTATAACGTTCGGCGCAAACGGATGTCCAGGATGACCCGCGTGTCCAGATGCGTCAAGGGCCTCCTGTTTACCGATAGTCTCCTGGGGAGCTTGGCCGGCCTCTCGTGGAGATTTTATTTCACCGGCAGTGTGTCCACCAATGTCCTCGCGGTATTGACTCATCTCGAAAGCCGTGTCCCCACCGCGATTCACATATTTAAGCAGCTGGGCCGCGCCCCGGGACACTTTATCACCCGGCTCTGGATCCAGCTGCTGCTTTGTACTACCACTTGCACTATTTCCACCAACTTGCGGACGTTTCTGTGCGCATTTCACGGACTCGTTCAGCTTCACATCGTTTTGTTGGCTCTCGGCTTGCGTCGCAGCCATGTTCTCTCTCCTCACGGAGCCATCGTCGTCTCATAAACTGGCCAATCGCGGGACCTCGTGTGTCTCGCGTACTATGTACTTGTAATCGAAATCCTGATTAGTTGAGCGTCTTGTATCACGGCTAACTCTTTCCACCGCATTCTCGGTCAAACGAGCGAGGACCAAGCAACGCACTAATGGAAAAATTACTTCTTCGCGTTTTCAACGTAGAAGGAACCAAAAAAAAACTCATACACGAACGTCAAAAGCAGCGTCGTACGTATTACGCCATCTTGCGACCACGGTATATATCATAGCCTGAACCCAATGCTCAATCACAGGACCGAACATCGCCCAGAGTTAACCTTTACTTTAAGTGAAAACTTCTGTTATGATTGGTCGAAGATGATTGCTTTTAGATAAGTTTTAGATAATGTTGTTCTGATTCATTAGAGATGTGTAATTTCATCCTACTGAGATAAATTGATCACAATTAAAATAAAGAGCAAATCAATATTATATGATAACAGTAAAATTAAAAATAAATATATTTTCTTTTTCCATAAAAATTGTATAAAATATCGTATCTAAGAATCGAAATATTCTGAACGCACCAATCAGCGTGTTTATAAAACTTTTATGCTGATTGGAGAAAATCATGATCTTATGTAAAAATTATTTATCCAAACGATATATTATAATTAATATTCCAATGAATTATGTTACCTTCTTGCAAATTTATTTAAATAAAGTATTTCATAATGCTGGATAAAATTTTTGATTCATTTAAAATAAAAATTTTATAGACATTATATGGAATTATATAAAGTGGGTATGTTTCCATATGTCAATATGAAGTTAGTTGTATATGATATGAAATGTTCAATGCGTTTAAAATCTACCATATAGATGATATACTCTATGAATCTATAAAAGTAATTATATTGCTTTTACAAGATAATATTTGTTTTAAATATTGCTTGTTCAATTTTTAATGAAGATATAGTTTATATATATATATATATATTTTTTTTTAAATACTATAAGTGCCTTGAATACAATTTGAATTTGTCCACTTAATGTCATTTAACGTATGAGATTACAGATTGGCCTTAGACTGTACAAATTCGTCATGGCCACGTGATAGCAGAAAAAAAGGAGATTACGGATGATAAGAAATTAAGACACTTTGTATATTAATATTTTAATAATCATTTTGTAAACATGATAAAAGTTCCATTAGTGCGATGGATCCAAAATAATTTCGTCCATTCGACTTCTCAACAAATTATATCTAAATTTCCAAAATGTACAATTGCAAATTTGAATAATATAGTGAATAAGACTGATAAAAGTACAGCAAATTGGAAAGATGCTTTATATATGACTATGAAAGTTTATCCTGACTTTATTACTGAAGAAGAAGAAATTTCTTTAATGAAAGAGATTGACCCATATATGCAACGTTTACGTTATGAATTTTCACATTGGGATGATGTTAGTGTAATTTCTATTATATTCCTATTATTTCTACTGCAATAATTTTATTCTATTCGTTAATGAATTTAAATTGTTTAAAGGCTATTCATGGTTATAGAGAAACAGAAAGAAAACAATGGAATGAACAAAATATGAAAGTAATTAATAAAATACGTCAAAAAGCATTTCCACCAGGAATGCCACAATTAAGTTTAGTGCATGTTTTAGATTTAACAGCTGAAGGATGGATAAAGCCACATGTCGATAGTATTAGGGTAATGTTTTATTCTTAATTCCAATATAATTATTTTATTCTTTCATAAAAATATTATTGCATGATTTCCATTGCTGCGATGCAAAATATCGTTGATGTGCTACATATTATTATTATTTAAATATATTTCAATTATACATAATATTTTTAAAACAGTTTTGTGGAGATGTAATTGCTGGACTGAGTTTATTGAGTGACAGTGTGATGCGTCTCACAATGGTTAGTCATGAACAGGAATGCAAAGAAGATTTTCTTCTACCTCGCAGATCATTATATATTATGAAGTAATGATTAACATAACTTTTTCGCGCATAATGTAAATTAGTTCAACTAATAAAACATATAAAATATATTTCAGTGGTGTGGCAAGACAAAAATATAACCATGAAATTTTAAAATCAGAGGAATCCTATTTCCGAGGACAAAAAATATCTAGAAGTCGGCGTATATCTATAATATGCAGAAGTGAGGTAGAAGGAAATATAGAATAGATTAAATTGTTTAAGTAGTAAGTATTGAACTGATTTAAATGTTTCGTGTTATATGATTATATTTATTATTTCTTTTATAGTATATTCAGAAGGAAAAATATCCTTTGTAAATAATTTCTAATTATAAGAGTTATTCTTGTTTTCTTTGTAATTATGTATATATGCACATAAAAAAGATCATTACAGAAAAAGAAAAAATATGATGTAGTATATAACCATTTTTTAAAAATAAAAAGTAAAAAGTAAATTAACTATAGTGTCTTATGTGTTTACTTTAATAAAAGAACATCATATTTATGAAACATATATATATATATACATTATTTTGAAACAAAAGTAAACTGCCTTTTATAACTTATTTTCATAGTTTCATTTTGATAATTTCATTTGTTACAAAAAAAGAACTTTTAGTTAACTCAACTAAAACTACAAAAGTATTATCTATATATAATCACGTTATTAAGGTTTATTCCAAGTTTTCTAATATGGATTTAATGATGTATGTACCTGATAAAATGAACCTAAATAAAATTGATCAGGTTAATAATGAAATTATAATATAAAAGCATAAGTAATTCTTTTTTCATTTATTTTTCTGTAAGCTTATAATAAATATTATTACTTTTATAGTTAACTCCAAAGATCATCCATAATTGTGAAATACCAAAAATAGATATGAAATATAATATAATGACAGAAGCTTCATATAAAACAAGATTTTGGTATTTTTTATTTTCTAAACGCACAATAGCTTTTAAATATCCATTTATAAAATGGTTAAAAAATAACGCAGCAATAAACTATGAAATTAATAGACACTTTCAATCTTATCCATATATGATACACCCTTTCAGCATTTTTCGGTTATTTATTTTTAATATACTATAATTTCATATATACAGCTATATTCATTATACTAATAATTATATTTCGTACATTACATTCACAGAATATATTGGAAAATGATAATGATTATCACCGGTTTTATAACTCTTATTATTAATCCCATATTTCTTGCATTTTATATGAATGAAAAAGAACAATGGTACATGTTTAGTAATGTGTTAGATGGTATTATTTTATGTGATATCATTATGTGCTTTTTTACTGGGTATTACAATCATTGGACAAATATGGTTATTTTAAATCCACGTATAATAGCAAAGTATATAACCAATTGGATTTTTTCATATTTATTTTACTTTTGATATTCATATATTACATTAACATTTATTATATTTAATAAAATGTTTCTCAATTAGAAAATATATGAAAAGTACTTTTATAGTGGATATTCTATCTGCTATCCCATATCAATTAATTGACTTTATAATAAATAAATCAGTTTGGTATTGTGTTATACTTAACATAGTAAAGATTATTAGAATACGAGCAATCATTGTTTATTCTCGAAAACTCTGCTGTGTGAGTGTTTTGAAACTGTTAAAACAATTCTTGCACAATAGAATTTGTTTTTTAATAGAAATATTTTTAGATATATCATATTAATCGTCAAAGATATAAACTATTTGAAATGAGTATGATTATTATTATATCTATACACTGGGCAGCTTGTCTTGAATATTACATACCACTGACAGTGTCTAATATTTTTGGAAGAAACAGAGGGTAAATATTTCTAAAGTTAACAATTGTTTCTGCAGCATTTACTCTTTGAGAAAGTGTTTTATTTACTTAATTTTTACAGAATAGAAATTGTTTAAAGAATAATATAAGAACTTAAATTTGTGTACATATAGGTCATGGATTGAATCTGATGCTTTAAAAGAAAGAAAAACAAATTGTCGTAAATATCTAATATGCTTGAACAGAGCTATTATTGCCCTAGTTTGTTCTGCTCATTATTTAGACATGAAAACACCAGATGATATTCTATTAAATATTGTATTATCAATTATGGGTATTCTTGGTTTTATTTATATTTTAGGTAAACAACATATTTATAAATTGAATCAAAATTATTAACATATTCTATATATTTGCATAATTTATACTTGTAGCACAGATTATGCAGTTTATAAATACATTATATTCAACCACTAAAAAACATTATAAACATTTCCAACAATTAAAAGAATATATAAGATATAAGGAATTACCATATAATCTACAACGCCGTATTTTAGAATATTTTAATTATTGTAGCAAAAAAAACTTTAACAGATATCAACATATAATCCATCAAGTTTCCTCTTATTTGCAAGAGGTTTGAAAAAAACTGCTCATAGAATATGCAAATAGAACATGAAAATTAATAAGCTCTTTCTTTTTTCAGAAACTTATTTTACACACTTATATGAAATTTATCAACAATGTGTCATTGTTTCAATATATTCCAGAATCTATCGTGTTACAGTTAATAAATGTGTTAAGCTCTGAAATTTATTTAGAGAATGATATAATAGTTAAAACTGATGAAGAAGGAGATGGACTCTACTTTATTGCATCTGGCACAGTTGCAGTCTATAACATTTTATGGAAAGAGGTTTTTCTAATGATACTAGATAACGTTTCAATGACTATTATTTTTTCATTTGATACAGATTTATCAGAAGTAATGTTTTATATGAATATAGGTTTGTCATTTAGAAGATGGAGCATATTTTGGAGACATTTTCTTATTTCTGAAAAGTATGCATCATAATGCTAATATTGTTGCAATAGAAACTTGTGAGATTTATATATTATACAGAACGAATTTTCAACTCATTATGAAATCTTATCCAGATTTATTTAATGTTTTATATAATGAAATTTCAAAATATGTGAAAAAACCTAATGCCTATGATAGTTTCTATTAAGTATTCAAACATTATTTCATCTGTAACTAATCAAAAGAATAAGTAAATATCTTTGCAAAGACAAAAAAATAAGAATATAGAAGGATAGATATACTATTGTTATTATGTTATAACTTTAATATTTTACTTTTGATCTAATATGATTCGATTATAATTTAATTTAATCTGCAGCTAAATAAAAATCAGATTTTGTTTAGTTTATATTATTGATCTTGAATTTTGAGTAGAACCAAGTTGCAATTTCGATATTAATAATTATTTTATATCATTGTTTCAAAGGATCGCAATCGCTAACGGTGAAAATTAGCTTTATATTTTCGAGGATTTTTATAAGATTGCTGATAGACCGTCATAAGTCTCCAATGTTCTGGATAATCGGTATCTCTACAACCATTTACGATACTAAAAGGAGGAGATAAAGTTTCTATACTAAAGGATCTTTTAGCGAATGGTGTTTTTGGTCGTGGAACATCTATTTTTTGTGGTAATCGTCGAGATGCATTATTTGATTCAGTACCTAAAGTAATTCCTACAGCTGATTTGATTAATCTAGGATCGTTCTTTTCTTTATTCTCACAGATTACAGCGCTATTCCTAATAGAACATTGTGATCTAGAACGTTCGCGAGAAATTGATTTTTGAATATTCATAGAGTCCATGCATTTACAATGATGCTTGCAATTATTTTGATTCTGGTGTGAATTATTATAACGTTTATCTTGATCTTTTTTTGCGAAATTCATCTCATATATTTCACGATTCTTATTATTATTATGTTTAACATTATAATTGTTAGAACGTAATTGATCACATCTCGACCTTGGTGCACCTTGTACAAGTTCAAAAATTGCCGGTGCAGCTCCTCCCTCTGATCCATCGATGTGAGTCGATCTCGGTGGTTCATAAATTGGATCCACAGGAGTCTGCCAGCAAATAGCCAAATCCATCTTTGTTTCTGGCTTCTTGTATCCTAATACGGCATCGCAGTGATATTTGGAGCCTAATTTATTACAACTATTATCCTTTTTGTTATTTCGGTATTGTTCATTTAAGGACGGTAAATGGAAAGATTCCTTTAGTTTGAAATTCTTCATTATATCGTCGTTGACTTTATCAGGAAGTGGTTGATGTTTTAAATTCTCCGCGTGAAGCTTTTTCGCGATAGCAAATCTATCATAGCACTTTAGCTTTTGATCAGCATTTTCAAGTCCTATTTCATATTTTTTCCTATTTTTAGAATAATCAGTTATTGTTTTTTTAAAAGATGAAATCTTCAAATTACCTGATACATATTTTGGTAAACAACATTCATGGGTTTTCTCACATTCTGGAACATCTATCACACCTGGACATTGAGCACAACATTTTTTATAAGGTATCATTTTAATTCGTTAAATAAAATTTTAAACGGACGAATCAATCGTACGATGAAATATAATAAATTAAATATTCATTTAAATCCGACCTGATCATTTTATATTTATTTCGAATTGGCAAATATTACAATGGAATTTCTCGACGATTTATAGAAATGCAGTCGTGAAAGATTTAACTTTTACGTATATCAATGCAGTGACTGTTTACTTGACAACGGATCGTTCAATATTATCATCTCTAATTCTGTTCTAACGAAAGTATATGCTTATGACATTAGAAAAAAAGTTATAAAAATTGTATTTATTTATTTATATAAATTCAATATGAAAAACAAGGATAAAATCATTGCAACAGTTTGAAGAAACGATGTACGAATGATTCAAAGAAAAAGATTCTTTTTCACTTCTTTTTAAACGCCTACTTTCACTTTTTTTTTTCTCGGAAGAAAAAAAACTGGAAGAATACGTTTATAATACTATTGGGTTTTCTAAGTTTGATGTATCATAGGAATGAATCAGCTATCTACGATCAAGTGACCTTTAGTACAGAATCGATGGAGACATAGTTATGTTTAGTAGTCGTAGTAGAACGTTCAATGGCAAGACATTTTTATCACCTATCTATAAATATATTTTTCAAATTGTTAAAGTTTTTTACGAAAATAAAATACAAACAATTATTTTTTTCTCAAAATAGGAAAACATATCGTCATACGTAATATTATATAAATCCGCACGTGATTCCAAACGGAGACTAGTTCGTCCGTCTAATTATACAAAAAGTGATTCACGATATTAGAGTGCACATTGTGTTGTTCGCGTGTGTATATTTTTAATAAATATTACGATGTATTAATGTTCGTTGAATTTATTTGTACTATTTTTAAGTACTATATATTATTGAATGATCGATCGAGAACGATAGCTATATAATTAAGGATCATTCCATTGTGGCGGTTACATTCGTTTAATAAAAATAAAAGAATAAAAAATTAATACAGTTTTTTATTTGTGTTCATAATGAATAAACAAACGAACAGTGATCACGATGAAATCTTATATATGGATGAAATTCCGGATGAGAGTCTACAACCATTAACTGCCGGGTTGGAAAATCCATTACCAAGCGTAGAACCACGGTTCGGTCCACTTTTAGAAACAGACAACAATTATAATCCACGGCCAACTTCGGGTCCAGAGATAGACGATTTAGAACCTGGCATTCCTTCACGACCAGGCGATAAAGGTATCGATGATGGTCTTATACCAGAAACAACATTTGGACAACCGAATTACCCTAGCGGACAACATCCTTTTTTTCCTCAACCACCGAATCAACCGATACCAGATGTAAACATTTACCAGCATAAAAAAACTCTTGCTCAAGGAATGATGGATTTAGCATTGTTATCAGCTAACGCTAATCAATTGCGCTATGTTCTGCAAACCGACGGTCGGCATCCATATTATTATCCATCATTGACAATGATTACTTCCAGTTTACTCATTCAAGTTATAGTCGGAATTGGATTAATTTGGAATAGTAGATACGATGTCAAAGTTGACGCGCAAATGTGTAAAGCCGATACTGCTAATAACTGGACCGTTATCGGTATATTTCTCGTCACGGTTCTCAACGTTTTTATTTCATCGTTTGGTGTAATTGACCTGATAACAACACCCACATCGTGACATTTAGATAAATTTTTGTTTAATATATATTAATCAAGTCTAAATGGGGATTTGATTTTTTTAGTTTTTGTTAATATTTTTTTCTTATAAATGAGATCTATTTGATGCATGGTATCTTTATAAGAATCCATTAAAAATTATAATTGTATATATACTTCTTAAAAAAATACTATAGCAGTATTAAACTTGAATACACAATGGCACAATCATTAATATATTTTTCAATTGTAATGCGAGTTCTTCTTTATTTTTTGCAAGTGTTTCTTTTACTTGATTCAGTTGAATGGTTACATCCATTAACCATTTATTAACTTCGCATTTGACATCGGATGTTCTTAATAAACGAGATGTACATTGGAAAGTGTTATAACATTCCAGCCTGTCTTCTGTTTTTTCTGAGCAAACGGAATATAATTTCTTTTTTATGATCTGTTCTAACAAAGAAATGAACCTACCGATTTCATCCCAACTTATTCTATTTATATTAATATCTACAGATTTCTCATATTCCTTGATCACAGTTATCTAAAATTAATGAGATATTTCTAAATTAATCACTTCAATCAGATTATATTTTCATATTTCTATAGTAATTAAATATATAACAAAATGTACCATCCAATCATAAAATAGATGTTCTTTTTCCATCCATTTTAAGTGTATATCCAACATCACACCAATAGCACGCAAATCTGACTGTTGTTGTTTATATTGATTAAAATTTGAATCTGTATGTAAGGCTAATAATTGTTTTATAAATGCGATTTCCATTACATTCATATGTACAAGATGATCAAAATTCATGCTAGCACCATGAACTTTATTTAACAATTTTACTTTTTTGCAAATTAATTCAGATATATGTTTAATATTAAAATTTACTTTACTATTGTGATGGATAATATTTTTTATTTGTGTATGTACAGAGCATGACGTTTCTACTCTAGATACTTCTTTCTAAAAAATATTGTATTATAATAATATATTTTACTTTTAAATATTTTTTAAAGTTTGTATATTTACCAAAGATATATTAGGGCATGAACATTCTCTTCCTAAAAGACTAGATGTCAAATTGACACGTACTACAATACTCAAAACATTTTGTGTCGCTAAAAGCCATGCAAATGCTAATAGAAGTACTCTATTGTTATGGCTGCTTTCTGATAAACCATAAAATTCAATTTCTGGATATTGTAAAAAAGCAAAATATAATTTTGTAGCAGATAATTTATCTGCAACATTATATTCATATTTTTGTTTTTTGATTGTTGTAACAAAACAAAAGAATGTAATAAATAATAATAAAAAATATATTTACACACAAAGAAAATAAGAAACTTACCATATTCCTCAAAGTATATGTCATTTTGTTTTTCTTTCGCCGCATAAAAACTTAATATGTGTAACATTGTCCATAATGTATCCTGGACAATAAAAAAATTTGTTATCGATATAGACAAAGGTTTCAAAATACGAAACAAATTTATCAGTTATTTATTTATCAGTCGATATTAGTACTTACAGATTTTTGCGTTGTATTATTATATTTAGATAACCTAAAATATTCCGGTTGAATTGCCACTTTAATTGATAAATTCAAATGTTTACATAGCAATTCTATAACGTTTTTAATATCCGGCATGATTTGAAAATGCTAGTTTTAATTTATAACGCTGGTTAAACACATTACAACACGTGATTATTCGTTCGACCAATTGTCTAACTCGTATAATAATAATACTAATAATAATACTAATAATAATAATAATAATAATAAAACAAAAAATAAAGAAATCAATAAAATTTAATAAAATTAAAAAAATGCAATTTTACAAGGCGATCGGCAAAATTAATGAATTATCCATTAAGCTTAAATTATCTTTTATATATTTTGTTATAGAAAAAAAATAGCGCTTAAAAATAACATACAATGTACAATCAAGTGTTATAAATATTTTAAAAATTTAGAATAGGTATTGTAAAAACTTTTCTTTGATAAGAAAAAAAAAAAAATAAAATTCACAGCTAATTTTAGAAGGATTTATAATCACTTCCGAGATTGTGGTTAAGAACAGTAGTTTAATAATCATAGTAAAATTCCCCTTCCCAATTAGCGGAAATGACACACTACGTTGAACGGGATTTATTTGGTTATCCCCACCTCTATGTTTTTCATTTTCACTTGTTTTTACTTTTGAAAAATCCGCAATGCTTACAAAATCTGTCCTAAGATGTCTATTTGTGCGGTATAAATATTTTTTCCAGTCATTTGCGTAAGGTTCATCAATGAACACTATTATCGCACATTATATGCATCTCACTACTTAAAAATATACTTTCAACGATGAAAGTTTATGTAACCTTCGTATCAGAGTATTACAATTTAATATCACGCCACAAAATCCGGTTTTCAGTATCATCTTGGTATTGCGATTAGCCGGTGATAAACAACCACAAGTGATTAAATGTATATATATATATATATATATATATATATATATATATATATCGTGTTCCCCTACCGATGTTATTAATCCTAACCTGACGATCTTCGAAATGTGTTATCCTTTATTTCTTTGAATGCAATGAGCTATTAGCGTGAATTAGAAGAATTTTTCTCGTAATTATTCTAATTTTATTCTTTAATCTCTTGCAATTTTCAAATTAGTTTTTAAATGAATCTAAACAGAACATTGTATTTTAATCATCTTATGTAAAATGTCAATTATTATTGGCACATAGGCAAAGAGATAATAAAAAGAAAAAATATATATATGTATGTATGTATGTTTGTATGTATATATATACATATATATATATACATATAAATTTATGTGTATACAATAAGTGAATATACAAAGAAGAGGGAAAAAGTGAAAAAAACGTAGGGGAATATTCGAAAGAAGCTTTAAGGGAAAAGAATAAGAAGCTACTTTGTTGTGTCTAAAAAAGTATTCGATTAAATAAAAAAAATGATGAAACGAGAAACTAATAGTTTCGATCGAATTTTCGTGAGTGGATGTATTGTACTTCTGGTGAGTTTTTTTTTTTTTTACTAGATTTAAAAATAAATTCTTATTTGTTTGTAATAAATATTATAATATATAAAATATATTTACATTCTTTTATATTTTACATTTGTATCTTGTAATATTATCTTATTATAAGATAATGTAACATATAACCAAGTTTTAAGGTGATATTAATTCAAAACATTATATATACGTCATAGTGAATCTTACTACGGGCAATTTAAAATACATAATTTGTTCTTTTTTTTTTCAATATTTGTCAAGATGTGGACACTCTTTCTTTCTCTTAAATTAATTCTTTATTAATTTAATTCTTAATTCTTCAATTAATTTTTAAAAAATTTATTTTATTTTGTTTATAAATATAATTTACATTATTGAAATTTAATAAGAAATGAAAATTGCCAAATTTCATTTCATATTAAATGTTTATTGAATGTTGTATATCAAAAACTTAAATATTCCAGAATTCAAGGATAATATGAATTATTGTACAGTTTTGTTATTTTTATTTTTCAGTTTTTTAAAAATGTTCATACTTATCCACATGAAGAATTTCAATCCTCAAAATCATCCATGGATAAAAATTGGGAATTGAATAATAATGTCTCAGCACAACATGCAATTCAGTCTAAAATTATTACACATAGAGAGGTTCAATCATCAGGATCTACAACAAACCATATGTATGGTCAGGATATGAGTGTAAGAGGTCAGATATTTCAAGATGATGATTCAACTTTAATTAATAAAACTTATAAATTCATATAGTGAATTAATTGGTATTAAGAAATAATAATAATAATAATAATAATAATAGTAATAATATTAATGAATGAAAAATAAGTATATAACATAATACTTCAGAGAGGGAGGGAGAAAGAGAGGGAGTCATAATTTAAATATTATATATAAAAATATTTTTCTGAATACTTTAATTTTACAGGAGCTCAAATAGGGCAAAGAAAATTACTTGAACAAAGAAATAATATTGGTAAATTGCAAACATTTTTTTAATACTTTCTTTATTATTTGAAATTGATTAACTCTGTGTGTGTGTGTGTATATTTTTGTATATATATATTTTTGACAATATAATGTAGTTTATACTTTTTTAAATATTTATTACAAAGTTTTTTTCAACAACACATATAGATGGAAAATTTGTTTTTCCTACGGAAGATATACCAACAAGTCAGTCACACAAAGCAACATTATTATTACCAGCACCAGTTTGTAATGGAACAACTTTTTGTGAAAAAGTATTTGAATATCCTGAAGAAATAATAAATGCTGCAATTCAGCGAAATAATAGTATTAAATATTTAGCAACTGTAGATACGGTAAGAAATAGCCTTTTGTTTTTATATATCATATCAGACTTTTTTATAAAATTAGTCGATAAATTGTTTGTGTATTTTAGATACCTGATATTGTACAAAGAGTTGATACGACAGATGATGCACCTCTTTGTTTATCTAGTGTAAGATTTATAATTAGAAAAATATATATATCATCAATTTTTTGTTATATTAAATTTCATTTTTAACACAATCATTATTCTAGGAACAAGTAATTTATCCAAAATCTGCAGAAAGTAAAAATAAGGAATGGTTATTTATTGTAAATCAAGAAAATTTTAAGCAAGGTGTACGAATTGAAACATGCAGGTTTGTAAAGCTTTGCTCTATGCTGTTAAAATAGTATAAGAAATATATCATATAAAAAAGAATAAATATTATTACTAAAATTATATATCAATTATTTTTATAATATATATTGTAAAATTTTTGTAATATAACTTATTATTATTTGCAGTAATGAAAATAGTGAGTGTAATATAGTCAATGGCCTTGCTGAAGGCTATAAAACTTCATGTAAACAAAAGTACATTTACCGTCAGTTAGCTGCTGTTTCAAATAATGGTAAGATTAATCCAGAAATGTTTCGTTTCCCATCAAGTTGTTGTTGTCATGTTAAATTTATTGGAAATTCATTGACCAGAATGGGAATAATTGGTAATCAAAGAAGTCAAAAAACTGAGATAAAAAATCGTAAATAGTAAACTATGATTTTTATGATGCGTTTATAAAATTTATGTCCCATATTTTACTTCACAAAAATTTTACTGAATTTCCAATAAATATTTTCATTTTTATTAAGCAAATAAAAAATTACATTAATATATAATAAATATTTTATGATTATTAATCCCTAAAGGTTCATATATAAGTGTTCTCAACAACATTCTTTAAACCATTAGGGGTTAATATTAAACAATTTTTTATAATGTATAAAATTATGATCTTATTACAATAAAAGGAAAGATTAACAATTCATGTTAAACATAGAATTTATACAATGTTATGAATTTCTTATATAATATTTATAATAATACAGTAAATAGTTAATTAATTTGAGCAAATTATATATTTCCTTAATTAAAAACATAAAATGTACAATAGATTATATCATATGAAAGTAACAAAATTTGTTTACACATTTTAATAATGAAAACAGTGTGTGTGTGTATATATATGTATTGTATATATAACTAATAAATTTAAATAATTTGAATATTCCTAAAAAAAAATCTAACCCAAATTTCAATTTTAATCTATTATTTTCGATAAGACATATATTTATTTTCAATAAGACATACATTAGGTGACAAAACACACTTTGCTATAGTATAGCTGTAAATTTTTATTATCATTTATAATAACAATAACAGGGCTTCAATGTATAATTTTTCTATGCATTTCATTTACTATATTTAATTCTAAGAATATCATGAAATAGAATAAACGAATTGTAGTATCATGCAAATTAGATGGATTAGAGAAAGTATTTTTAAAAGAATGTAAGTTAAATATTATCGTATTACTCAATTGAAGTTCATTTTTTTTCTTTTTTTTTGTGAAAAACATTGTATTTATGATATTTGAAAATAATGAGAATTTGCTTATTTATGAATAAAAAAAACACAAAAAAAGCAAATTTATAAAAAATAATCTACTATAAGTATACAACTTTGTACATGGTGATCTAAATATCAAGACCAATAAATATATATGACTGCAAAGGGTAAAACATTATATTTTTATATTAAATAAACTAAGATGATAATACGATATACTGTGATATCATGATGTGCTTTGGAATGTTATTAACCCAAATGAAAACTGTAACCATTGTAAAATTCAGTTCGAAATTGAAAGCCCCCATCTTGAGCAAAAAAGGTTGGAAACATTCCACGAGGATCCACATCTATAAAAATTTTTTATCATTTTGAAATATTCATAGTTTTGTATTATGTTATTGAATAATAAATAATTTTACATACCTTGCATGTTATTATCAGTATCATCCATGTCATGGCCACTATCATAACGTAAACGTTTTTTGGGGTCTGACAAAATACCATATGCTTCTCCAACTTCTTTAAACTTTTTTTCTTGTTCCTTCTTTTCCCCTTCAGTTGCATTAGCATGACGATCTGATAAATATAATTATCCAAATAAATATAAAAATTACTATTTTTTTTTACAGTATACTAAATGATTTACCATTTTATGTATGCTTTTTTTTATGTATTAGTAATATTATTATCGGTTTTATACCTGGATGATGAACCATAGCCCGTTTTCTATATGCTTTTTTAATATCATCGGTTGATGCATTTTTATCGATACCTAATATTTTATAATAATCTTTCCTTTTAGACTTTTTCAATGCCATTTTCGCTCCAGTGAGGAATCTCTTATTTTCTGTAAAATAATATATTAAATACAGAATGAATCAGTTTTTATTTTATTGGATAATATTTTAATAATTATATTTATATATATATAATATTCATACCACGACTATTATCTATTTTACATGCTTTTTCAAAGTCACGAACAGCTTCTTCATATTCATTTAATTCCAGATAAGACGATCCTCTCCTAAGTAAAGCTTTTAAATAATTTTCGTCAAGTTTTAAAGCTTCTGTGCATTCTGTAATCGATTCTCTTATTCGTCCTAACTGTAACAATGAGGAACACTTTCTATTTAAGTACATAACAAACAAACGATATATTAAGTACATAACAAAGATATAATAAATAAAACATATATAATTTAATATACAATATTTTTGAACTTACTTTAGTAGCTGCTGTTGCTTTATTAAAATGAAGTTTTGCATTTGTCATTACATTTTGGGGATCTATAGTTAAAGCCTCTGTAAATAAATCATATGCTTCTTGATAGCGTTTCATTTTAAATGCAGCATTTCCATCTTCTTTCTTCTTTTTTAAAGCTTTTGCTCTCTGAATGTAAAGGAATAGTTAATATTACATACATTTACATATAATTAATCTAACATAACAAATCTAAATTTTATTACCTTGTAAATATCCAATGCTTTATCATGATCAGGCGCTAATCTTAATACTTGTTGGAAATGTGCAAAAGCTCTATCAACACTATCTTGAAAATATAAACACATACCACGAATATAAATAGCATCTGCATTTTGTTTGTCAATATGTAAAATGTCACTAAAATATAAGAAGAATATTAAATATAGAAATTAATAGAATACAATTCAGATTGCATAAAATCTATGCAAAAAATGAATTTTAATCTACTTGGCAATTTCCTGTGCTTCTTCATATCTCCCTAAAAATGCAAGACATTCAGCTTTGATCAATTTGAATCTTGTACAAGATGTGCTTACATCACAACATCGATCCATACAATATACAACCTATTAACAAAAGGAACATTGGTTTGAAAAATATAATAATATGATTATACACTTTTAATGATATAATATAATGTTTTTCATGTGCTCTTCCAAATTTATGTCCGTCTATAATAGTAGTACTAGATTTTGCATAATCTTTGCTAACAGTTGTTAGTTAGCAGTGAAAATGAGCATTATATTTGCACAAACCTCTAACCTTACGGAAATCTTTCACTGCATAAGCAGCGTCTGCATCTTTCAAATATTTCTGTATATACTCTAAATCCTTTTGTTCTGATGTTATTGTTTTATTGTCAGGATCTAGTTCCAAAAGTTTTGATATATTAGTCTCAGCCTCTATGATATCACCCAAAATCAAAGAACATTTAATAACCCTGACATATGCCTAAAGAAATAAAAATAATATAATTACATAACACAAATATTTGAAATATCAGAATATTTTATATAACACAAATATATGTACTTTGAGAAACATTGGGTCCAATTCAATGCACTTTTTAGCATCAACTAAAGCGTTACGATATAGGCCAAGCATCATATAGCATGCTGCTCTGTTACCATAATAACGTGGTTCATCTGAACACATTTCTAGAATCACCATTATTTTTTATTATAGAGCAAGAGATTAGTTTCATTATATAAAATAATATAAATATACTAACCAATAACTTCATTGTACCCGATTAATGCTTTCTTGTATTGTTTCAGAGAATAATATTGATTTGCTATTTCCTTCTTTGCCTCTGCCAATCTAAAGAGAAATTGTAAACTCAATTTTAGTATATTTATTACATAATGAAAAAAAAAAAAAAAATTTACTTTACATAGTGAAATATTTCTAAATATAAAGAAAATAAAAAATGCCCTACTCACTCTTCAACTACCGATTTGTCTACATTCATGGCGATTGTCACTGGTTCAAATTCTTCGTTCATTTGCACTTCATTCATTTGCACTTCGTTCGCCATAATTAACGTTCTTAAGACAGGCAGAAGAATCAATGATAAATAAAGTCATTCAAAATAATATTGCACTCATATTAATACTACTACACAATAATTTTAAAGGGAAATGTTTCATGGTAGTGTATAATAGAATATTTAAGAAAATTACCACAAGAGAGAAGTATGTTTCGATAATTTCATCCAATTGATCACACGGTTACAACACAATACTACTGTTGGTTAAATTTCAATTAACGTACTGAATGTGTAACTTCGAAAATACTTCATCTTATATTGTTTCAAATTTTATTATTGCACACATATTTATAGCTAAACAATATTCCGTTGTATATAAAAGATGCCGTCGTATCTCACAAAAGCAACTACATAAAGAAACGACCTAAGGTGACTCAAGCAACTTTTCACTGGAACCATGCATGAGCTACAGTAGCTTCAGGTAGTTCAATTCAAGCGTTGTTCGTCGCTTCGAGCGCCGAAGTGAATATAGCTACAAATGATTAAAAAATTTATCTTTTTAATGATATAACGAATATAATCGTATATAATAAAATAAAATTTAACAAGATTTACAATTTGACATTAAAAAAAATATATTTTAATGATTCGTTTTACTTTTCTATAAGATATCAAAAATATGACATTATTAAATGTAACAATAATATGATTACACATTGAAACTATTAAATATGTACATTTATATCTGACCAATCAAGTGAAGATTTAAGTTTGTCCAATTTTTAAACTGGATCGATTAATTGCGCTTGGCTCAGGGTAGTAGAAAACATACAATATATGATCGTTATATATAGGATTGTCCGTCATGCTTCTTGGCGGGTTAGAACGAACTGGAACATCAAAGAAGTAAAAAAAGAAAAAAAAAAAGTAACATGAAAATAACTTTTGAATAAGCTTGTGTGTGTTTTACAATATTTATAATAAATGTTGTACTGTAATACGTATAGTGTAAATAAAGTAAATGTATTATCCAAATATAATACCATAACTGTTTTGTGTTGCGTATAGGTTAAGATGTATCAAGTTATTTTAGTAGTGTGATCTCATTAGATTTAGAAACTGTAAAATATTCGTAAAATATTCGTAATATTTATTTTGTAATATATCATTTGTTTCAGATTTGAGTTTAAAACAAATTGAGATAGAAAAATTAAAACTTTAATGAGAATGGCAGGTAGTAGCGAACTTTGGATACAATGTTTTACATGTTGTTTGCATCAGCAAGAACCTCGTTCACGAAATGGAAAACACAAGACCCATCACAGACTCAGGATAGATCGAAGCATGATAGGAGAACCTACAAATTTTCGGCATACAGGGCATATAAGTAGCGATGATTTCAATATGACTGGAGATTGCTTATCTACTATTCAAGAAAGAATGCAACATAAAGGAGGTTATGATACATCCATTAGTGTTAAGGTAATGATTATTTTATTTTAATAACTAAGCATGAATAAATCTTGTAAATAATATATACGTATATTTATGTATATATATATTTTTTTTTCTTTTCTTATTTTAGGCATATTGATATATATTACAAAGTATTTGAACAAACTGCCAGAGTATTAATGGAAGGAATGCATCGACTGACTTTTTATCATTGATGTATTTACTTCCGGACTTCACAAGCCCGTAGCACAATGCACTATGCACAGTGATGCATTTTTTTAAATGTTTTTATAAAATAATATCTTAATAAAAAGGGTACTTTTCTTAGCGTCATTTATTACAGACGAGATCTCAAAAGGATTAAACAAATAATCTTATATGAAGTTAAAAAGAGTGTACGAGTCTTGGTCATATACGTGAAAATTGATATATTTTGATTTATTGCATAGACTTCTAAGATTATGAATGTATTTATATATTAATGAATTTTTCCACGTTGATTTATACCTTGATTACTTTAATTTGTAAGTGTAACCTAGTAAATAAAATAAACGATTGTATATAACAAAAGCCATATGAATTTTAATACTGTATTATGACACAAATATATTGTAATAATCTATGATTATAAAAAATATGAATAATCAGAGGAAAAGAAAATTTAGAATCAAAATCTATCTCGATTCAAAGTTCTGTTGCATTAAATCCTTTTGGTTTCATTTACGATAATATAAAGTAAATTAAATATCCCTATATAATTAAACAACAAGATCCCTACATTTTAAATACTCTCTATAAAGAGAATGATTTAAATTTTCGAATGTATTCTCGAAAAGTCAATTATCATATTAATTAATGTTTATATTTGTTTTTATTAAATAAATTATATTAATTCCATTATTATTATATTAAATGGAAATCGATTAAGATCTTCTTAAAAGACATTGATTCAAAATTTATAAACTTACTACCAGAGTTTTTTCATTCATTTTATTTTCTTATAATCTCTCATTGTAATTATCAAATTTCGAACGGAATGTGACGATCATACGTTTAATAACATATTTTATCTATTAATATTATTCTTTCCATACAAATCGATAGCATTTAGACTTCGAACTGTAGATGTCTGCCACGTCACCGACAAATACCACTATATTAATAACTGCAGTTAGTTACTCCTAGATTTCTATCCAGTAAAGATAACTTATATAAACATAGTTTACTCAATTAAATACTCATATTTTTTCAACTTTTTTCTATATATTATTATTTGTACTAAATATGTCACGCGTACTTGTTGGTGTAAAAAGGGTAATCGATTATGCGGTTAAGGTAAATTTTAGCTTATAAAATATCTAAACATAGAATAGCTTTAATTAAAAGGGGAGAAAAAAAAACAACTAAATTTATCATATCTCATCAAATTTGATCTTGTTAAATGTTATTCGTTAATTTTTAACGAATAATGAAAAATACTTGGTAAAATTGAGATTTTATGAATTTTTTAATAATGTTTTGTAATGAACATTTTTGTCTGATTTTTTAGATCCGTGTTAAACCGGATAAAACAGGAGTTATTACTGATGGAATTAAACATTCAATGAATCCTTTCGATGAGATAGCTGTTGAGGAAGCTATAAGAATGAAAGAAAAAAAATTAGCACAAGAGGTAATTGCGGTTACATGTGGTCCTTCTCAGGCACAAGATAGTTTGAGAACTGCATTAGCCATGGGTGCTGATCGTGGAATACACGTTGAAATATCACCAACAGAATATGAAACTTTGCAGCCGATTCATGTATCTAAGATTTTAGCAAAACTTGCAATAGATGAGAAAGTTGATTTGATTATTGTCGGAAAGCAAGCTATCGATGATGACAGTAATCAAACTGCCCAAATGATTGCTGGTAATTTAGATTGGCCGTCAGGAACATTTTGCAGTAAGGTAAAATAAATCTTTTTAATTTGTATTATATTACTTTCTAATATTGGTAATAATCATTCAAAAATATAATGGATTTATTAATATAAGATATTAAAATATTTATTTTACTTCTTTTGTCATTTCTTCTATTATTAGATCGAACATGGTAATGGTGAATTGACTATTACACGAGAAATAGATGGTGGTTTGGAAGTCCTCAGGTTAAAAACTCCAGCTGTTCTCAGTGCCGATCTTCGTCTTAATGAACCTCGTTATGCCACATTACCAAATATTATGAAAGCAAAAAAGAAACCAATTAAAAAAATTAGTTCAAAGGATCTTGGCATAGATACATCCGCCAGAATTGAAATTATTTCTGTAGAAGAACCACCTGTTAGGCAGGCTGGTGCAATAGTACCTGATGTTGATACTTTAATAGTTAAACTAAAGGAGCGTGGACATCTTTGATATTTTCCAAATGATCTATAAAGTAGAAAATGTTGTGTCTTCCTTTGAATGAATTTTATTATATTTTTTACTGTATATAACATATGCCATCTAAACATAATTAGAATGAATAAGCTCTATATTATATATTTTCATAAATTTGTACCATGTGGAGGCAAAATGTATATCTTTTCTCTTTATCATTTATTTTATAATTTTAATAAAATAGTATATTATATACTCTATATATCTTTGGTAAACGTAACAATATACATCAAACAAATCTCTTATGAGTGTGTACATATACATGTAATCATTTACAAAAAAGAATATTATAATTTTTCTTTAATTGATCTTGAATTGTCATGATCAATTGACACAATTATTTAAATATTCTTTTACTAATAAAATTCTATAAAATAAAAATATTGACATTGATATTGCATATTTTTTAATGAACAAAATTTTAATAAAATATAAGCTGATTGGAAAGTTTAAATTGACTTTGTAAAATGCAGCACTCTAGTTCAAATATAAAATGGCAATTATATCAATTTTCATTAATGTTGCAAAAAAATGAAGTTACATGTGATAGGAAACAGTTCATAAAATTATTTTTGCACTGATTTTTATAATCATTTAAATTGAAGAACTGATATTTAATTATTCAATGGTTCACATTTAAAACTAGTAAATAAGTTATTCTTATTTCGAACTTACGATAAATCGAAATGCAGGTACAACATAAGTAAATTCCTACATAATCTATCCTACATATTACAATTATTATTTTTGTCTTGGAAGGGCAGAACAAACTGCCAATATTTCATATTCATTATTTCTCAATGTTCTTAATTACTAAACAAGAAAATATCATATGTTTTGTATTATATGTTTTGAAGCAAGACTGCTTATGTCCGTTCTTGATCTCGATAATTTCAATATCAACTATTCTCTTATATAAAATTCATTGTATCATGACAGTCTTTTATGATTGCGATTCTATTATGTTTCAAAGGTTAATTCAATTGTTCAATATTTTTTTATATTTTTTACATTAAGACCTTCCAGTCAAATCTACTATTACTAGTATGCGTGATAGGAGGAAAAGGAGGTGGGTGAAGTTGCCACCCATTCAATTCTTCACGAGCGGCTAAACATGCCAAGTATGGTACTCGTTGAACTAATTTCGTTACTTCTGCTGCTGGTGGTATCTGACCACCAGTCAGTTGTTTAGTACAAGCTGCTAAAGAAGCAGCATGAGCTACTATGAGAATGTTACCTACCGTACTTTCAATTATCCGTTTAATTAAATCATAGCTTCTTTCATAATACTGTGCTGCATTTTCTTTTAATGGAAGATCCTTTGCTTGAATTATTTCGCTATAATTTTTATCCACATTAAAACCTGCATTAATTAATTCTTCAGAAGTCATCCAGACAGGTATACCGTTTGGATACCATGCTAACCATTCTATTAAACCTGGTTCTATTTTCATGGGTATATCTAAATCTAAACCTTTTAAAATATGAGCAAGCGTTTGAACACATCTGAGAGATGGCGAAGTAAAAGCAACATCTATTTTTATGTTAGATGATTTCATTGCTTCACCAACCAATCCTGCTTGTACTTCTCCAACTGTCGTTAAAGGACTATCGTTTTGAAAGTCTCGTATATTCCTTAGTGGTATCTCCTTTGGCATATTTAGGTCTCTACGTACATAACAACCATTTTCTTCAAAGCAATATGGGATCCATGCACCAAATGTAAAATCTACTCTCTCCCCATGACGACATATGAAGATCTGTCTTGCAGAAACTATAGGTGATGAAGAGGCCTCCTCTATCTATGTAAAAACAAAAATACGAATTAAAAATAAATATTATTTAATTAATATAATAATTCAAAAGTTTCAAGAAATTACTGATTCTTTATTTATTTCTATTCCATCTGGTGTATCTATAGAATCTTCAGTAGATAACAATGATGGTTGTTGTTTTCTTGTTTTTGGCATTGCCTCTTCTTCCACGGTTTCACTTTTCTTATTATTAATTTGTATAGTAGTATGCAGTGTCCATGAATCTGATTCAGCTGTTCGTTTTGTATGATTTAAAGGTAAATGACCTGAAGTTCCTGTTAACCAGGAAGTACCTTCGACCCATCCATCGGTAGAAGCATTACATGCTCCTTCTGGTATATAAACATAATCTCCTACTCTTAATTCTAAGTCATCATGTTCTTTAGATGTATACGCGTGTATAACTTTATGGACATGAGAATTTTGTAACCTAGTATCTCTAGAATATAATCTAAGTTCCCAATTGTCCGGTGTAGTTGGTCCCAACTTTTCAACCATCAAACGGAGAGGTTGAAATAAATTGCTAGGAAACTGATAAGCCAATGTGAGATGCAATGATTTTACTTGAGGTTTGGCAGTAATACCTAAACTTGTTAATTTATCAACATAATTGGTAGAAATTTTTGTAAGCCATTTAGTGTCTGCATCTTTGACGAAAAGTCCCATAAAGTTGGGCGAAACATATGTTTCCAAATCAATACGATCGCAAAGTTCATCTAAGTCGATGATATTTTCAAGAGAACTTACAAGTTCTGGAGTTAATTCATCTGATGCCTAGGAATAAAAATAATTGAAAACAAGATACAAACAGATTACCTAACAGAAGATTAATGATTCTTTTTTACTTTAACTATTTTATCATGTAAAAATTAATTGTCATACTTACTTGAAAAAAAGATACAAGTGTAATATGTGGTATAAAGTTATGTGCCCCATTCCAACCTAATTCTTTGCTTTCTGCCCAAAATGTTAAAAGACGTTCTGCCAATGCTCCTGTAGGACAAGCATATAAGACATATTGTCTGTGTGTAATAAAATCTAGAGTCGGATCTCTGACATGGGCAAGTAACCAGTCAGATGCAAGCTGAACACCACGATGTCCAGTAGCAGCTAATGCTTTTTCCCTGTAATCAGGTAAAAAATTTATAGTCGAACGAAGAAAAATAATCCTTTTGCGTAACATATTCTTTAATAATGAAAATTTAATGCGTCTGAGTAAAACAAATTAAACAATAATTGTTGTATAATGTAAAAATGACTAAATATAATTAAGTTTTTTTTTTATAAAATATATTAAAAATTACAAAAAGAAAATGTAAGAATGTAATTACAATGATTATAGACGGAAAATCATATGAATTACAAATGTCTTATATATTTTGACAGCTGTTTGTTTACAATGACACTCAGAGTAAATACAATAAAATGTTAATGCGAATCGAAATTTCTTTGTTTTCGATAATAATAGAATCATATTGTTTTTACAATACTTACGCTCGATGTTTCGGAAATCCAAGTTGTAAAAGTGTTTGTAAAGGAGTCAACTGTTGCTTCGAAATTTTCGTCGCGGTTGGATTTTTTCGTGGCGGTAATGTCGCCATGACGGTACGTTACTTAAGAGTCGCCACCAAGCTGCAGCTTGATCATGAACGAGAAATCTTACTACGATGGAAGAATGTACCATTGAATTTTTATATGAAATACGATTGAAATCGTCAATCTTCCTTTCTTAAATCGATAAATTGGATAAATTTGAATTCGAATTAGAGCATACCTTTGATATAACGTTTTTTCTTTTTCTTTTTTTTTTTTACAATACCACAAAGAATTTAATAGCAGCACTTTAGATGAATACTTTATCTAACAAATGTAAAAATAACTATTTTTATATTTTCCTGATGAGATTGTTTTTTTTCTCTTTCTCTTTTTTTTCTTTTTTATCGTTTGCATAGAAAGAAATTATAGATAAAACAGTGTTATCTCACTGTTAAGATAAACGAAAGATTACGGTAAGAAGATAAGTTATCGTAAACAATTGCATTCGCTTAATATCCGTGTAATTATATGTTTGAATTATTTCACATATAAGACAAATTAAAAGGATATTAGAAAGAAATATATCCTACAAAAAATTTCATAATCTTCGTAGATATATTTGTCAAGTAAGAACGAAGATTACCTATTGGTCAATTCCGATGGAACCAAAATCTGTTTCGTTCTCCGAATAGTATCAGATAGAATAAATTCCATTCTTACTAAAATCGAACGGAATATCCAATAAGATTGTACGTCGAACAAAGACAACGTTTGCTTTGTATGGAGTTTTTCCTTTTTTTTTTTCTCTCTCTCTCTTTCCTTTTATACAAATAATGCATTTCGTTCGTCAATCATATTGTTGATATTTCGCGAATAAAAATTTATTTCAATATAATACGAATGAATATAGATGAGTTTTTGATCAATGTATTTTACAATTTTACAATACTTTAAAACCTTTCCGATTTAATAACAATGTTCTCTATAATAAGATAACATTAATTATCATATTGTTTTATACACTAATAAAATTTATATTTTGCTAAGTACGCTTTTTAGTTAGATAAAAAATCATTTAAATTCTCCATATTAATTTGCTTCGAAGTCTTCGCTCATTAACGTCTTACATTATATGTATTTAAGTAACATATGTAGCTGAGGTTATAGTATAAAAATACTACTTGTTCATTTTAAAAAAGTATGTATATATATATATATATACATATACATCATACATATATATATATATATACATACACATACACATACACATACATATAATATATATATAATATATAATATATATATGTGTATATATATACATATATATATAATTACTTAAGGCACACCTCATACACAAAATTATAATTTTCACAATTATATTTCATTTCTCTTCATATCAAACACATACTTCGCAACAATTCGAACAATGGCACACCACTGTTTCACAGCGTAATATATTTATAGTTAGTTTAAAAGAAACAACGAGATATGTGAAACTATACATTTTACATTCGTTACAATATCCTGGTTACGAGCATTCTTTGCGCCACGATACAACCTCGATAAATATATAATAAAAAAAGTTACACAGCATTCATATACATATAAAATATAATAACACCTCTGTTAAAGGTAAAATTGAACCTACATATGCATATATGTACGTATGTATGTATGTTTGTATGTATGTATGTATGTATGTATGTATAGATGTATGTATATATGTATGTATGTACAATACATATTATTGCTTAGAAACGCGGTGATTTCTTATTAGATCATAATAAAGTCGGTCCTTTGAAATTAATTCTAAATAATTATTGTTAAAAATTGAAACGAAGCTTGCGTAAAAGAATACTAATAAGAAACTACAAATAGCTCGTGATTGATGAGAAAATAACAATGTTTTTTTTTTTTTCTCAAAATGTTTATTACAAAACATATGAAGTTGTTGGAAGTCAATAATAATTACTCCCTTATCTTCTATTCTTTTTTTTTTTTTTTTATTTTGTCACGTAACTATTTGGCACGCGTGAAGAAATTTCCAAGGAACCGATCGAATTATGATATTGATTTTCCACCCATTTTTTTTTTCTTCTTTTTTGTTTTTGTTTTTCTTCCATTTGCGCCCGTACATTCCATTCTCATTAACATGTCATCTCAATGTTAATCCCAATCGTTCCGTATCGACATAATGATCGACGTAATTGATAAATCCATTCATTCGGACATCTCTCTATGTATATTATTTTATTACAAAGATTACATTCCTCAGTTTAATGATGAGAAAAATACTCGTCCTCTTTTTCGTCTTAATTAAAAACACAGGGTGTTTCTATTTTTAGGCAGTTTACATGAGAAATGATTTTATCGAATTTTTTTGCGATACTTTAAGCGATATTTTTCATTTGGATTGCACGATACATATATATATATATATATATATATATATATATATATATATATATATATATTCTACAACCTGATTATATATTAAAATGTCGATGTCGTTAACATCATAAATTGATTGGTATTAATGATGAATTTCTTGAAAAAAAGTTTTACTATATTAATAAAATAAAATTTTGAATACTATTATTAGATATATTATAATATTATGAATGTATGTGGAAAGAATCATATTGATTATACATTTAATATGTTGACCTTTATATTATCTACAGAACATTCTATTTGCATAAACTGGTGTATAAAAAAGAAAAAGAAAAAAAAAAAAAAAAGAAAAAAAAATTATCTGAACATAAAATTATTTAATCGATGGAAATTAATTAAGAAAATTCGAAAGAACGTGCAATTTTAATTTCTGTAAGTATGACTGTGATTCAAATCATCGAACGATTAAGTTTATTGTTAAAAGTTGAGAACATTTTGCAAACAGATCAATCGCAAAGAAATATAAGTTCTTTAAAGGATCTTTAATTACGAAATAACACGTTATTCGATAGGATCAGGAATATGAAGAAAGAGAATAATTAATACTTCTTTTGTGAACTCCATCTTGTCGGGGTTTAGGCGTAAAATCTGTACGGCCTGTAAAGTAAAACGGTACGAACTTACCGTCAATTCTTCGATCGTTTATTTCCTTATAATATATTCACATTAGTTTATAAAAATAAGCCTTTACGCAAATCGAAAAATTTTTTTATAAGAATTCTTAATTCTTTTTTTTCTATTTTTGCTTTCTTCTTTTTTTTTTTTTTTTTTCTTTTTTTTTTTTTTTTTTACTTTTTCCCATTTAATCGAACATAGATATCGTTCGTTGATTTACAAAATTCATACGCGAAAGTTAATAAAACGATGCTCTTTATTCATTTATTTCTCTGCAAAGTTTTGGCGCTATCAAAAATGCACCATCATTACATGTACAATTAAAATTTCGTATAATCACAACGTTATTGCACGTTATTAGGCTAAATCTAGCCTTTAGTTTTGACTAGTAGTTCGTATTGAACGGCACACGTACATAGATATTATTTTTTTCTACTTCTTCTTCCTTTTTTTTTTTTTTTTTTTTTTTTTATATCCAAATACATCTATTGCTAGCCGCTTCTAATAACGAGATTTCTTTCAACTTGCATACATAAAGATACGTATTACAAAATGTAATAAAAAGAAATTAAAAATAAAAATAATGTCGTTAAATGACTAAGTCACGAATAAAAGAAAAAAAAAAAAAAAAAAAAAAAAATAAAAAAAGAAATAAAAAAAAGAAGTTAAATTTATTTCGACATACGCGTCCAATAAAAATGCTCATATCTTCGTTATTTATTTTAACACAATCACGTCGTTCAAGGTTTTTTTTTTTCAATCGGCCATTCAAGATACTCCATGATGTCTTATGGTTATTATTTTATCTGAAATAATCCAAATATATTATATCACCATTAAGATCGTACAAGACCCAACGACTTCCATTTCTTCAAGGTCTTCCTAATAATATCTCTACTTCTTCATTATTATTAATAGGTCTTATACGAAAGTACCATTATTAATCATTATTAATATCATCGATTTTATATATTAATCGATTCGATCTAAATTTCAACGTCAGATCTCATTTTTGTGTATTATATATTAGATCGAATTCATCTTTATAAAAAATTAACGAAAACTTTTCGTTCCATGAATTATTATGAATTATTATGAATTATCTTATTTATGAATTTGAGATAGATCGTGACAAGATTCTACATAAAGTAATATAAAATTGTGTGTGTATTATATATATATATATATATATATATATATATACATATATAATCTGCTTTCTCTTTTCGGCGACTTTAAATTGCATTATATCAAATGTTATGTTGATTTTAAACGAGGATAATTAGATATGAATACGAATTTACAATTTCATTTTATAAATTGATAGTTGACGAGGAAATAGTATAGGATTTGTCAGATGTAACTTCATCGATCTTCGTATTTTTGATATTCGTAATAATATCAAGGAAAGATCGAGAAGAAAGATATTTTGAAATTGTCTTATTTGATGGAATATACTTATATCTTTTCGCACTGTTTGCTAATAATTCATTCATACCAAAAATTCTTTCTATTCGAGATCAGGATCTATTCGACATAGACATTTTTTGAATTGGATCATCCATCCGATCCTCGTGATCCAATTACAAAAATCCAACTTTCTTCTCGCAGGATCGTTGCAACATCAATAAGAAATCATGTATAGTATCAGTCTCGTAATTGGCAGTGCGTATTCGGGAATCGAATAATTGGCGATACGTTGTTTGAACGATTATACCGTAACCCTGTAGTATAATTTTCAGAACGTCCTGAAACATAAAACCGATGAATCGTCCATTTTCACGCACTTTTTATCGAGTCACGAGTTGGATCTGTCGTATAGGGCATAAAAGAGCCCTCTCTCCTCGATCGGTCGAGCTAATGAAATTTAAACAAGGTGTTCTATATGACACTCCACGATCTTTCTCAATTGATCTTAATTAATTGATCTCACCAAGACATGATCATTCTTCTATCTTGTTAATTCGAGCGTATCACTATCGACGAACGTATCGGATTCGATCGAGTCAGTTGCGTTTCATCTGACGGATTAAAACTTTTTAGATAATATCGATCGCTAAAATAACCATTGTATTTTACCATGTTTATTGTTTATTAATAATTTGTGGAGACCGTGCATGATCGTAAATATTCAAACAAATTGCTTATCGATCATACGTACGTTCAATTTTTGCTATTTTCTTTTTAAGCAATCGCGATGTCCTAATGTGTGAAAGTATTTGTTGTTATCGTGATTTGTTGAAAAAAAAAAGAAAGAAAAAGAAAATAAATAGAAAAAAGAAAACTGATCTATAGAAAAATACTTACACTCGGCTCATCGACATTTTTTAAATCTTCGAAGACGATCTTTTCATAACTAAGGTTAACATTAAATAAGGAACTTGTAAAGATCGTCGAGAAGGGAAATAGTGATGGAGAATTAAATCGGATTGTGATTGTTATAAGACCGATTGGATATTGATAAATTTAAGAAGAAAAAAAAAAAAGAAAAGAAATCAAATTGTTATAAAACCATATGAGTGTTATAGCATTTACTTTCTTTCTTTTTCTTTTTTTTTTTTTCCAGAAAAAAATCATCCCTCCATTGACCGTCGTCGTAAAGAATTTAAAATTCTTCTTGATAAACAAACAAAATTAAATTAATTATTATTAATTTAAGTGTTTGGCCATTTTTTCAAAAGATGACGATTTTATCGAACGACGAAGAATCAACGATCGATTTTTCATGGGCATACGGAATTTAATAATTCACTGTTCAATAAAAATAAATTTTTTTTTTCGAATACGAATTGAAATATATATCATCCGATAGATCTCGTCATATCATGTATAAGTAGATATATTTCAAAGAAAATATTTCAGCTTTTTTTTTTTTAACATCGTACTCGATGGAAACTATATCTCGTTAATAAATTTAGAATGAATTCTTTTTTCTTTCTTTCTTTCTTTCTTTTTTTTTTTTTTTTTTTTTTTTAACAAACGTATCTGTTTCCTATCATTCCGAGATTTATCCGATTCATGACGCAAAATCAATACCGATATATATCGTATCAAATCGATATTATAATATGATTTCTTTTAATATTTATCATTGGCATTTGAAAATTCGTATACTCGAACAATGATGATGTTTAGAAATAAACTCACGTGAATACAAAAATCAACGATCGATTATATTCTAATTTCTTTCCCTCCCCCCAACCCCACCAACCCATCCAACTCTGAAAATTTCGGAGAAATTAATTTTCGATCGGTAGAATTCGTGCTTTATGTATGTGTATATATATATATACATGTACATATATGTATATACATAAATATGGATATATATATCCATTCGATTTAAAAGTTTTTCGTCCCTTTTGTTACTTTCCGTTCTTTCGATCCGAAGTCAAAAGTTGCATGCCTTCGACTGGTCACATCTCAAACAGTTATATCGGGATGTAAGAAAAGTATGCGGCTTTCGCGCGTCTGTCATCATCATTGTCGTCGTTGTCGTCGTCGTTGTCGTCGTCGTCGTCGTCATCGTTATCGTGGTCGTTGTCGTTGTCGTCGGTGGTGTCACGATCGACCTACTTGCGATAACTCATCCAAGACTCGAATGAAGGGACATAATAATCAAAGAATTATCTTTCTTCGACGATCTCCGAGATAAAAGAAAATCGATGTATAGCGGAAAAGAGAAAGACAGAGTGAGTGAACGAATGAGAGAGTGGGAGAATGACAGAGAGAGTGAGAGAATAAAAAAGAGAGAGAGAGAGAGAGAGAGAGTGAGAGAATGAGAGAGAGAGAAAGAGAGAGAGAGAGAGAGAGAGAGAGAGAAAGAGAAACTCACTTGTCACGTTTAGTCCATTTTTAATCGCGAAAAACTTGAAGGAAGAACAGCCAGGGCCTCGTTTGTATAGTCTAAATTTTCTCGGCTATTCGTTTCTTCCTCGGTTCCTTCATGATCGTGCCACCATTTTTAAGATCCTTGATAATCCTTGTAGATATTTCATTCGTTTCGTTTTCCTTCGAACCTTCCTGTTCTTTGTTTTCCCTTAATCCTTCTTCTTCTTCTTCTTTTTTTTCTTCTTCATGAATTCTCTTTTCCTTCCGTCTTCGAGACTCGAATCGAGATTCCTTCGGAAACTTTTCCGATGGTTTACGACACAGCGAGACTCGAATATTAGCATCATCGTTTACGTTTCGCCTTTGTCACTCTCTGTCCTTTGTAAGGTCGGAGGGCAATTCGCATGCAACTGAAGATGCTGACCCTGAAATTGGTGATCTCGGTGACGGAGATGACAAGCTCGTTCTCGATGACACCGGCAATGAGAGACCTGCGGCACTCATCGCCACGTTAAGCGGTATCGTGATGAACGGTTGATTTCCTTGCGATGAATTAACCGATGTTGTCGTACCTAAATTTAAACAGGATATGGTTCTTATTCTAAATTTGGCGCTAATATTCCTTATCCTCTGATATTAAACGTCGCTCAATGCGTGATTCTAACGGTATTGATTTCTTCTGTTAACTGTACTCTTTATCCCTTGATATTAATCCTTTCTTGCATTGAAGAAAATATAATGGAAAGATAGTGAAGTAAGAGTTCAATTTTGTTTTCTTTTCTTTTTTTCTTTATTATTATTATTAATATTATTATAAACGTTGTTATAAACGTTGAAAATGAAAATGAATAATAATATGAACATGAGTATATATGTATATATATATATGAACGCGAATAAAATTTCTTTTTACAATATATTACTATAAATTTTTCATCTTCATAATGAAGAATCAATATTGTTACGTTAAGAACGATCCATGATCTTTCTCTGTCCGTCATTTTTCTGGCGTAAAAATGACATTAACCGGTGACCGATAAAACCTACCTCCGTCTTGTGAAATTTGTACCGGTTGACCGTTTTGTCCGATACCGAGCAAAACACCCGGACTAGGCGAATAAATGACACTTTGTGGCATCTGGTACATGATTCCAGCGGAGAATGAAGGTATATTACCTGAAACGATAGAATAAAGAGATTTGCGACTTAATACGCACAAATAAATACATAATTAATACGCATAGGTAAATAGATATGTATTGTATTTGGGAGAATATAAAAATGGATATTGAAATATAAAAAAAGAAATATATTCTTCGTGCGAAAATACTCGATATCAAAATCCACATGTACAAGATCCCTTCTAGATTACAATTAGTCCTAATATGGATTTATAATAATAATAATAATAATAATAATAATAATAATAATAATAATAATAATAATAATAACTTTAGAAGGAAGTTTGGGTCTAGTTAAGTTTAAGTTGCGTCATCGTTCTCACATTATCCGTGGTTTTAGAACATTTAAAGACCTAACATATACGTAGAACAATTTTACCATTTCTCTCCCCCACACTAAAAAAAAAAAATTGTCTATTTTTCACGTAAAAGGGCTAGCGTCAATTTTATTGTAATCCCGGTATGGCGTTATATCGAAACAATGCGAGTCCCGGCCTCCCTCGCTTTCTCGATTAACCGTAAAAGGGCGAACTGTTAGTACGACGAAGTAGATTTCATCATCACCCACTGTCTCTTATCACGGTGCGTAATGGAAACGTAGAAAAAGACGGACGAACGAAGAAACGAAGAAACGAACGAACGAACGAACGAACGAACGAACGAACGATCCGATCGGATGGCATTCACTTTGCTGCATTAGCATCGGATATTTATGTGTGCACCTGCAACCGAGCGTGGCGATCTTACATACACAGATAGTTTTTAATTGCATTCGCGTTCTATCTCTCCTACCATTGACACAGAATTTTCCATAAAAATGAGAAAGCAGTATCGCTGCACTTTCAGAAGGTTAATCTTTAAAACATTTTCACACGTTCGTCCTGTTAGGTTACATATTTATCATATCGGGATGATATCCTTCCTTCCTTCCTTCCTTCTTCTCATTCCTTTTACATTTTTAATGTGACATAGTTCGATTAGTATATTCGCATACCTATCGTGAAATTGCCTCAAGAAAATGTCTATCGATTAAATGAATTTCTACTTTCAATGGTAATGAACAGAAAGAAAAATGTCTACCGCTAGATATATATGTGTGTGTATATATATATATATATATATATACATACACACACACACACACACGGCGAAAATCTTCGTAGGACGAATTTATATGCACGAAGGATAAAAGACGTGATATTATATACCGTTTGAACTGAGTGTTACTATGAGTGTTACTATAACTATATTATTCGTACGAGTTATTATCGTCCGATATAAAGGAATAAAATATTTCTATCAAAATAATTCCTATCATTTATTTCATATTATTCACACGTGCTCGTCTCATTTAACATAATGACGCGCAAGTACGATCCATAAGAGAATATTTTTTTTTTTGTATGCTTGTTACAACTACAAAAGAAAAAGAGTTTCAATGTAAAAGATATAATAAGGAGATTATATAATAAGATAGGAAAAGATATAATAAGAAAGATATAATAAAAGAATTTTCTTAGATTCACATTTTCTCCCCCGTAGTACTCCCGTTCTTCTCCCTCGACAAAAATCTTCCCCGTTCAAATATCGTATCGTTTCTCGCGAATTCACCCTTTCAAACGTGAATTTCACGAATATAGGAACAAAAACGTAAAAAGAATAATAGCGATTCAGGAATGGTGAGGTTGGGGTTGGTGTGTGCGATATATGTATGTGTGTGTGGGGGGGGGTAGGGGGAGGACAGGGTTCCTTACATTCGCGTTGCAATTAGAACGGTAATTCTTTTTCGATTCGATGGGTATAACACTGACAAAACGCGTCGCGGCGCTCGTTCCGTAAATCTTTTCTCGGTCGTTGGACCACCGGAGTGGAAAGGCCGTCCCAAAGGCCGTCTCAAAGGCCGTCGCAAATCGCTTGCCTTGCTGCTCCTTGTTCGATCGACTCTTCTCAAGATAATAATCCACCGAAAATTCTACTTTCTACGTGGTGGTTAGTTACTCTTACATACATACATTACTCTTACACACACACACACATATATATATATATACAGTACATTGTATATAGATAGGATAAGTAAATAGTTTAAACGTATACATACATATATCTACATACATAGAGCTATCTAAGCTTAGGGAATAAGTACTCGCGAGCGAGTACGCGCGCGCGCGCGCGCGCGGAAACGTTGGAAAAAGCGCGAAACGTCACGGCGGCGATCGGATGGCCATCCACTCGGTGTACATTAGCATCGATATTTATGTGTACACCTGCATCGAAGCGCGGCTTTCGACCGGATCCTACTTCCCAGTTAGGCAGCGCGTTGTCGTCTTAGTTTGGTCATCGCGGACCGTACGACTCCTTACGGACTCCCCTACACGGATAACCCCGTCATCGCTCGCACGCTTTTCGCATTTTAAGTGTCCTCTCTCTTTTCCCCTCTCTTTTATCTCTTTCTCTCCCACTCTTCCTTCGACATACCTCCCCGACCACCCTGACCTCCCCCTCATCCCCCCACACATACACCCCGCGCCACTCTGACTCTTTCTCTCTTTCCTTCTTTTCTCCTTTCTTACGATATCCTTCTATCCTTTTCTCTTTCTCTTTCTCTCTTCCTCCCCCCATTCTCTCTCTCTTTCTCTCTCTCTCTCTCTCTCTCTCTCTCTCTCTCTATTTCTCTTTTTCCTTTTCTCTTTATCTACAAGCCTGTGAGTGACTACTGTCAGCCTGTCTACCTGCCGTTCGTTCTAACGATTTTCCACACGGCAGTCTTACGAGCCGTCGGTCGATCTCTCAACTCGACGAGAGATTCGAGACACGCCCACGAGGGAAAAAATCGGTGTTACCCAATCAGGGGATAATCCTGCCACTTAGGCAGCCCTTCGCTTCGATCCTTTCTCCCTCCCTTTTCCGATTCATCATCGGCCATCGTTGGCTTTCTAAAACGCGTTAGGATTTACGATCTCGATCGTTTTGATATCGACCGTTTCGATCAGCTTTAATCTGAGCCTT